TCATGAAATTTCAGTGCTTAACTTCATTATTCAGAGTGTCATATTTAATCTAAATGTGTATGTCAAATGTAAAACAGACTTTAAAATCATTCTGTTTGCTTCCTTATTTCGCTCACTCCAGTAAAAGAGTGCATACGCATGGTCTAGAGTGTCAGTACGGTGCGCACATATTTACGCCTAGTTTATTTTTTATACATTTTTTTGAAAATTGCGTACGCACATTTCCATGCCCATTTTGTGTGTACGCAACATTTATACATCAGGCCCCAGGCCTGGTACTCTCTCATCTTTCACTGTCATCACTCCTCCTTTTATCCTTCCGGAGCTCCTCCGTGGGACTCGAGACCGGTGAGTGGCGCAGGTGTCGCTCATTATCATTTACTACACACCGGCCTGGCTCCGTTCCCACGGCTCTTAGCCCCGCCCCACTCTTCACAATCACTTTCACTGACTTTTACATTTACTGTTCCCTCATGGTGGAATGACCTGCCCAACTCAATCCGAGCAGCTGAGTCCTTAGCCATCTTCAAGAAACGACTAAAAACACATCTCTTCCATCTTTATTTGACCCTCTTACTCTAGCACTCTCTATTCTAATTCTAAGAAGAAGAAAAAAACACTTGATCTTCTAACACTAGCATTCTCTGTTCTTTTTCTATTCTTTCTACTTGTTTTCTTTTTATTTATTATTAAACAAAACAGAACAAAAAAAACCTTGATACGTGTACTGTGTTAGGCTAACAGACTTGTTACAGCACTTACATATTATTGCCCTTGTTTTGATTGCTTCTATTGTCCTCATTTGTAAGTCGTTTTGGATAAAAGCGTCTGCTAAATGACCAAATGTAAAATGTAAATCTCTACATGTATGGCAGCCATTCCATTCCATTGCCTGTAGAATTACAACACAGGCACACCTCATTCTGCTTAATGAAGTACTCATTATGTGATCATCTAAACCAAATCTTAACAAGGACAAGGAAAGCATAACAAGGAAAAAGTATAAAAACTGCTGCTGTGGTCATCACTATCCTATCCTCTTGCAATAGGACCAGCTGGATGGCAAAACAGTGCTAGCAGTACCTCAAAAGTAATTGGAATCAAATAATAACTACTGACCATGTCAAAAGAGATGAAAAGAAAAGTTTTGAGTGAGGAAAAGAAGGGTTCAATTCTGGCTTTACTGGCAGAGGGATACAGTGTGCGTCGGGTTGCTTCCATCCTTAAAATCTCAAAGATAGAAGTTCATAAGAACAAGTTCAACCTGCAGACATTGAGGACAACAAAGCAACAGACCGGCAGAGGGCGAAAATGACTCTTCACTGACTGGGATGACCACCAACTCATTCAAATGTCACTCAACAACCGTAGGATGACATCAAGTGACCTACAAAAAGAATGGCAAATGGCAGCTGGGGTGAAGTGCACGGCGTGAACAGTTTGAAACAGGCTCTATAGGGCAAAGCTAGAAAAAAGACATTCATCAATGAGAAGCAAAGAAGAGCCAGGCTGAGGTTTGCAAAAGACCATAAGGATTGGATCTTCTCTGATGAGTCCACTTTTCAGCTTTGCCCAACACCTGGTCATGTAATGGCTAGACAAGGCCTACAAGCCACAGTGTCTCACACCCACTGTGAAATTTGGTGGAGGATCTGTTATGATCTGGGGGTGCTTCAGCAAGTCTGAAATCGGGCACATTCGTCTTTGTGAAGGGTGCATGAATCAAGCCATGTTCAAGGTTGTGCTGGAAGAAAACTTGCTTCCTCCTTCTCTGACAATGTTCCCCAACTCTAAGGACTGTTTTTTCCAGCAGGACAATGCTCTGTGCCACACAGCCAGGTCAATCAAGGTGTAGACGGAGGAGCACCAGATCTAGATCCTGCCATGGCCAGTCCAATCCCCAGACCCTGAACCCCATTGAAAACCTCTGGAATGTGATCAAGAGGTAGATAGATAGTCAAAAGCCATCAAACTAGCTTGAATTGTTGCAGCAGGAGTGGCATAAAGTCACCCAACAGCAATGTGAAAGACTGGTGGAGAGCATGCCAAGACACATGAAAGCTGTGATTGAAAATCAGGGTTATTCCACCAAATATTGATTTCTGAACTCTTCCTAAGTTAAAACATATTGTGTTGTTTAAAAATCTATATGAACTTGTTTTCTTTGCATTATTTGTGGTCTGAAAACTGCATCTTTTTTGTTATTTTGACCAGTTGTCATTTTTTGCAAATAAATGCTCTAAATGGCAATGTTTATTTTGAATTTGGAAGAAATGTTGTCAGTAGTTTATAGAATAAAACAAAAATGTTCATTTTACTCAAACACATACTATAAATAAATAGTAAAACCAGTCTCTTGATTTTTTTTCCAGTGTTGTAAGATTTAGTACTTCTAATATGGTTCCCTTTCAAGGGAACTTCGAACTGCGTCCTCTAGGGGTCGCTATGGGGAACGCCTCGTCGTGACCCGTGTCTGAAGCATACATTGAAAAAACACCAACACCACGTTGGCCGGCAACAGCCCATGACGCCACTACCGGTGCGACTATAGTATAAATAGGTGCCGGGAGAACTTGTCATTCTGTTCTTCGTCTTCATTGACTGTTTTGTTTGAAGCATGCATTTCTGTGGTAAGAGCGATCTCTATTCATATCATTATGGCGAGCACTAGCAAAGCGTTTA